AGGCCGGTCGCGAGCTCATTGCAAAGCTCAAGAAATCCTTTCGGAAGGTGCAGCGACGGGATGGGGGACGTGGAAGTTCTAAAAATTCTAAACGGGGAGTTTGGAATCTGCAAACATGGGGATGAGCCCCATAAACATCTGGAGATGACGGTGCTTTCTATCATTCGGGATGGGGGGGATGTGATTAGGAACTTGAGATTGAACTGTGTAACTACACTTTTAGCCTTGTTGTGGGGGCCATTTGAAATCTTGAACATCCATAGGTTGTAAAGTATTAGTTATTGGAAAATGGCAACCCCACTTCAGCACTTGTTCAGGTCACCTTCCGATTGCCCAATCCTCAAGTGAACAATTTCCTATTTGACCCTTGTTGATTGGTGGCCCTAGGATTATAACATCTTATGACTCAGGGTTTTGGACCCGTAGGTTGTATACATCCCCTGTTGATGACTGAACCTGGGCTATGCTGGTTTCGTGGTGGCGACCAATCCTTTGCAACATAAACCAACCAACAGAAGTGCATTAAACACCCGTTGTTAGACGCTGCTCATTTGGCAGCGGTTGACTCACCATAAATCTAATTAGTGTTTAAATGTTTTTGAATCTTAAGGTTTGTCCTCACCGCAGACAGGATCCATGAGAATTCCTAAGTGGGAGATATTTCAGATCCCATTTCAGAAAAAGGATGAAAAAGTAAATACGATGTTGGCTGAAATACAATTTAGACCCCTCAGGCTGGTTGCATCTCCAAAATCATTCAGCTAAATCTTTGGTCTCTTCAACTACAAAAAAACATGCTTCACCCGCGAAATGGCCCCTGAAACGCCAGGTGGAAGAGTACAAAGCCGAGACCTTTGAGAATTGGCAACGCGTCGTGGCGACCCAGTGGCGACCCTTAAAAGTTGCAAAATTTCACAACGGGTGGATGGACATTTTGTTGGAAACTTGAACAAGAAATATTTCATTACTGTACAAGTCGGTTTTATACATTTCATCAGCTGGACCTAGGAGTGAGATACACTGTTTTCAGAAGTATCATGGCGGTGGCTGAAGGGATCCCTACACGGCCATCCTGATCCATCCTGCATAATGTACGAATGTCAATATGAATCACCAGTTTCTACTTCAGTGAATGGCTCGTATCTGCATATAATCTATGATATCTGTATATTAAGTAGATACTCGTACATAGTCTGTAGGTATATAGTATATAGATTGATACAGTACTGTAGATAGATACTGATAGATACATACAAACACACTGAATAGTTTTATGAGTGCTATCAACAATGTGCCACCCTCTTCCCCATCAATTTCTCCACGAACATAATTAATTATTCCATAATTACGGAGAACACAGTGGGAAACTCATTGATATACATCATACCATTCTTCACATCACATATATATATATAGATATTATATATAGATATTATATATTATATATATATTATATATATATTATATTATATATATATAAATGTAGATTTCAATATTTCAATTCTCATTTTCCAAGTCTAAATTTCACTGGTGACACTTCTTGCCGCCTTTTTCCCCGTCCCTGGAAGGTCAAGGAGGAGCACGAGGAGAAGATGCGCGACGTGACACTGCGCCGCGAGGAGCAGCTCCGCGTGGAGCAGGAGGACGGACGTTCCGTGGAGATGGCGAAAACGGATTTCATGGTGATTTCATGGGATTTCATGAAAAAAATCATGGGTACTTTGCGAACTTGGCGAAGTTGTTTATGACAAAAACGAAGTAGATGATGGATGGTGAAGCAAAACTGGGATTGAAGCAACAAAAAAGATATATATATATATGTTGGGGATATTTCATGGGGATATTTCATGGGGATATTTCATGGTATAGTTAACATGGCATATCTATATATAAATATATATGGATAATTTCGATCACCAGTTCACGTCGAGTTCACGCCGCAACGTCACTGATTAATGATGGCAGAACGGTTCGACATGGAGGTGAAGTATTGGTCTGGCTTGGAACATTACAATAGGTCTGGCTTTTAAAGATAGTTGAAGATATGGAGAATAACAAAGATGAAGGACTTTTCCTTAAATGGTTTAAGATGGCTCTTTTGGTGTCTAAAAAATAGAAGCCAGATAGATTACAATGGAGCCAGTTAGATTTAATTTTTGAATATGTTTGATGTCTATTTCAATGCAGTTTCTTTTCAATACCATCAGGTTTTTTTCACCAGCAAATCTGGGTTTAGAGAAGTTGATGATGGACCTCATATGGATGAACTTGGGGCATCCAGTCACCTGACCTATACCCACATCTTTGGATCCGCTGGCCATTGTTGGATTTGATGTTGTTAGACATTTTGTTGAAGCACTCTGAGGTTTGTGTAGCAGTTCAGGTTTGTCCGAAAATCGGGGCAGCTATCCCAGTTTATGGCAATTCGTATGAAAATTATGATCAACCGTGAGATTTTGGTAGGGGTTTTCTCTATTTTCAGGGATAAAGCCAGGAATCTCCAAGTAGGGCGTGGTGTTTTTGGGGAATCGCAGGAGAATTTTTTTTTGGGTCGTTTCATGCTGATTTGGCCCAAAAAAAGATGGTTTATATGTCGATATCTAGTTATAATATGTTATAATATGAGGGTTAAAACATGTCATATCCCAACTTTTGGGGGCTTTCGGTTTGTTCCATATATATATATATATTAACCCATTGATAACCTCAACTGCACAGAGATTCACAATTGGCCTATGAAACTATGAAGCTCTCGCAAAGATCGTTCAGCCTGCCATGCTTGCTGGCCACTTATAAGTGACACTATTTTGACGAAACACGCCGTCTATTGTGACGAGGGCTGACGCTGATGGTTTCCAGCAGTAGAATCATACAAGCAGATACAGTACTCTAGTCCCCAAAGAAATGAAGAGATAACAAAAGAATGGTATCCACCAAAAGTAAATCTTTGGGATCCACATTTTCCAGTACTGTAACTTTCACCACCAAGCACGGTACCCTGCACTGATCAAACATGGCTGGCTCGGAAATCCTATGATTTTCAGTGGGAGATCATCTGTAAATTGATACTGTAGTAATTGTATAATATTGTACAATGGGAAATTTTCCGTGGGCAGCTTTAGAATACGAGAGAGTGAACACACTTTCATTTGAATCAGCGTAGGTGTTCGGAACCTATCTCTAGTTTGGATGCTTAAGCCTCCGTTTTATAGGTCAACACCTTCCCTCAGGATCGCAGCTGGGTTCCAGGTATTCGAAGGTGTAGCAAGCCGCAAGTCTTAAACACCTTTGAAAGAGGGCCCTAATAGCGCCTTATTTTTAAGCTACCAATAATATATTATTAGTAACTTACTCATAAACATTTAAGGGTTTTATACAAAATTGAGATTTGTGCCTTATTAGTATACTAATAATACATTATTAGCATACTAATAAGGATGGGCAAAAGGGGCAAATCCTTAAATATGGTGTAGGGGGGGTACCGGGGGGGTGGTGGTATAGTTAAGTGCCCACCTTTTGAGAATCGGATTGGCCGCAGGAGTTAGTTCACGAGTACCTGGAGAAGGAGCGGATGATGCGACTAAAACATGACTGGTTGGTGGTTTATTATTTTTTATTTTTTCCATATATTGGGAATAGTCATCCCAACTGACTTTCATATTTTTCAGAGGGGTAGGTATACCACCAACCAGATATGCGACTAATGGGTTCACCCCAGTGGCTTGGTTCAAGTTACTTCACCCCAGTTTCAATATGCTATGACTGGATGATCGCCCTTCTTTCCCTGCTCTGGATCCAATTCTTGGAGAACGCCTAGGGCCTATATACCCTCTGGTAAACTAACATAGCTGTGGAAACTAGCCCATAGAAATAGATGCTTTACCTATTAAAAATGGTTATTTTCCAGTTTGCAAACTGTGAATTTACCAGGCCGGGTACATAGTAGTACATCATATCGTTGGTGATCTCCCATGATACCATGAAAAACTATTGGTTTCATATCCCTACTGCGACAGTTGGTGAATCTTTGGTTACACACCCCTATCTGCTTTGGGTCTTGATTCTTCGTCCACGATCGGATGTGCCTAGCGGCCTAGCCTTGGCGCTGGTGACGCTGGTGGTCAGTTTTACTTTTTTTTGTAATCAAACATGGCTAGGAAATCCCTGAGCTAAATGGAGGTTTGAAAAGGACAATCCCAGAAAAAATAGGGAAATAGCTGTGGAAAATAGCCCATAGAAATAGATGTTTTACCTATTAATCATCTATAAATGGCACATTTTCCAGTGCCATGTTTGACTACCACAGGGTAACTTGATCACCTCAATCAAAGGTGATCACCCAGAGAGAATTCACCCCAATGGTTTATGAATGGGCCATCCACACCATAGCTATGTTAGATTGACGGTTACTCCAAGAGTGACCTTCAAAAAAGCTGAGCTCGGCTGTCCGCAACTAATCCCTTCCCAATATTTCTCTCACACACCCCAGAAACCATGATGGATGTTTTTGGGATTTACACAATAGAATATATATATATATATTAAACATGAGGTTGGACCATTTAGGTGTTTTGGACCATCCTTCAGGGATGGGATATCCTACTGTAGCAGCTTAGCACCGATCCCCAAAAAGTCAGGAGGCACGCACGCAAGAGCGCTTGGCTGAGAAGCGGGCGCGGCACCGGGATGGTGTGGTGCTGGGTCAGGTGTATCATGGCATGGGGATGGCCTCCCGGTAAGTGGTGTTTTTGTTCACGTAGCATCACGTAGCATCACGTAACATGGCCCAGTTATAGCTTGCCATGAAAATGTCACCAAATTTTACCAAACATGGTGACATTTCTGGTGCGTCTCCATGTCGCCATCTTCAAGTAAACCAGAGGGTATGATGATCTGGTTGGTGGTTTCAAACATGAATTTTATTTTCCATCATATATGGGATAATCCTTCCCCTTGACTTTCATATTTTTCAGAGGGGTGGCTCAACCACCAACCAGTGATGATGTTTTTGGAACCGAGAAAATATGGATAAGCTATGAGAAACTGCTTGGCATTGTGGAAACCTATGGTTACGACCTGGATGATTTCTTGTGGAAGCCTTGGAAATTCAATCAACACCTGGATGTTGGTCAACATCTGGCCAACATTTTTCAGGCTTCTCGAGCCATTTCAGATATTTACCGTTTTGGATGGTGAAAGGTATGTTTTTTTGTCGAAAACATGGTTACATATGTAATATAAGCCCTCCAGAGGATGTTTCTCGACATTTTTCAGGAAGCCTCTGCGAGTCTGCAATCTTGGGACCAAAGCCCATAAGAAAGTGATGGTTAGAACGGTTACTGTAGAAGCACCAAATCGATCGCCCAAGTGTCCAATAGGATTAGGAATTTGAATCCCAAGTTGTGATCAGTGACTTGGCCCTGTAGAAAGGTGTGCTGGGATGATCTAAACTGCCAGCCCTAGGTTTCGGGGAAAACCATGACTGCTGTTAAAACGGCAGTTTTGGGGACATCCTTGCGATTGGTTTATAGAGCTGATGTAGATTTCTATTGGTGATTTGATGTGATTTGATTGTTGGTTTTTGTTTCCGGTTTGATGCATTAGATCTCCACAAGGTTGGTGCTTGTTGGTGAGCTAGAGTCTTCAACAACTAAAACTGACTACGCTTCAGGCTCAGTGGTTTACGCCACTAGATAACCCTACCTGGCTTTGGTGGATTGTTTTTCCCTTTTAACCGCCAAACATGGATGAATACACTACTGTACCCATTACTACCCAGATCCTCCAAAGACTATCTTGATTTTTTCCAATGGATATTTAACGATATTTAACGTTAGCACTGTTTTTTTTAGAAAAAACAACACCATGCGTTACATCATGCAGCTAAACATGTGCTTTTTCAAGATAAACGATCCCCCAACCAACAGTCAGACCCCAAAATGCTGATCCCAGGGATTTCGTCTTTCAAGTCTTTCAACCCCCTGTTTGGCAGGGTCAATGTTAGCAATGTTGGAGTGAGGAGGGGCTCACCCAATGTATACCCAGAGGTCCATGAACCATCATGAACCATTGATCACCCATCACTTTATGGATCCGATGTGTCATTCCAATGATCCATCAATGTCTATTCGTCACCCATGTTCGATCCCCACAAAAACATACAAAAATTGAAGTACTGGTACCCACGAACCACGACCGTTTCAAGAAGATCTTAGATTTTTGCGGGGGTTCCCAATTTTTTGTCACCAGAATATTTCTGTATGGGATATTTTCCCAAGGTGTCTGAGTCTCCAGCAGATCAGGAAAAGGAGAAAGAACGCGCGTTGAAGGGCGAGGCGGACTATTTGGAGCCTTGGTGCACTATTTGGTGCACTAGTGGGGAGATTGTATCTATACACGGGCAGTAAATGGTAGTAACAAGTTACCAACCACTCGCGGATTATTACAGCTTAATTGGATGTGCATTCCAGATAATAAGTGGTTTACAAGCCACATATACCCCATTAGTCTCACCTATCCAAGAGGGATATTTCATATTGGTTCTTCCCGAACCGATGCATGGGAGAATAATTCGAGGAGTTCTGCCGAAAATTAGGATACACAATCATGCATTATATTGGGTATATAATGGCATATTTATGGTATGCAACTAAATGATTATCCTTTCTTGGTGGGAAACTCCGGATTTCGCAGAAAAATGGGGATGATCATGGGATATCATGCGGATCTTTCAGAAATGGCATGGTAAAATATGGTAAGATTTTTCCGCATTTGGAACCTTGGCACGGGATACCCTCTGGTTATGTCAAAATAGCTATTGAAAATCACCATTTATAGTGGATTTTCCCATTAATAATGGTGATTTTCCATAGTTACATTAGTTTCCAGAGGGTATATATCATCACCACCTTGGAATCGACCCATGATGGGCCTTCCATGATTCGTTGGTCCGTACTGCAAGTCCGCTTTTCATCAGCCATCTCACTTCGTACATGTCACCCCATCTCACTTCATACATGTCACGCTATATTACTGTCACCATTTCAGTTGGTTCGCTTACATCATCGGACGTCATCCATTTGGGTGCTTTGAATCCCCCATGTGCCGGGGGAGAGATCCTGCTGGCTGTCACCATGTGAATTAAATCACCATGTGAATTCCTTTTGTTCCGTTCTTCTGAAGAATCCTTGATTTTTGGATTGCCAAAAGCTACTTTTGCATCTTCCAAGGAGAAGCTGGAGAACTCCCTGCGTCAAATCGAGGTTTGGTTTGGGGATGGCAGGATCTGAGCCCCCTTTTTTCGGAGAAGGTTTCATGGTTCTCGCAAGGACCCCAAAAAGAGGTGTCTCAAGATGTTGGTCTTGGCGCTTCCAATCTCAGAGATCAGGCAGATCACCGGGATTCCAGTCCGAGGTGACACCACACCAGCGGGTGGTCACGTAGTTTGGTGGTGGCAGATGCCTGATCAGCAGCAACAGTTTTGACATCAATTTGATCTATTTTCCGTTTGAAACGCCTCGTGTTTCCGAAACACCCGTGCTGTCAGCATTGGGAAAGCCAAAAGCCACAGCTCTCCCCCTCATGGATGTTATATCTTAGTCATTTCCGCTGTTTCTCTTAGTCGCAGATGGTTTTAATTAATGTGTTTTGGGGGCCGCAACTTTGGATGTGCAGATGTGCAATGTTTATTTCTGAATCCGAAGTCAAATGTCCGCTTTTTTTGAACACATTCATTGTGCGTTGCTTTTGAAGTAAGCACTGTTTCCTTTTTTGGTTGGTATATATATAATATTCAGTAATATACATACGTATCTATGTATATATATATATATATGTATATGTATATATGTATATATATATATATGTATATATATATACACATAATTTCTGTTTTCCACCTGCCATGAACTGATGATTTCCACCTTGAACCACATTCAGATGCCATTCACAGACGACCCAGTTTAGCCTCCTGGAAGGTGACCCAAAACCCATTGCCGTTCTCAGTGCCTGATGGTTAGTACACCCGAAGCTGGGTCAATTTAAAAAAAACGACCCATTTTAGCCCTGGAAATCCATGGGTTTTCAGGGAAATCATCCCCAAATTCATGGCCGAACTATTCAGGTTACTCGGTGGCTCATCCCACTTAGTAAGTGGGTTATAACCCCAGCTATAGATGGGATAAGTAGGGTTAATCCACTTATAACTGGGGTTATAACCCACTTACTAAGTGGGATGAGCCACCAAGTAATGACATCTTATAATTTACCCAGACCCTTGATAAACCCTTATCATTGTGGGGTCAACTGTGGGAGGGCGGATGATTCCCTACCATTATTGAGTGGGAAAGCAGAGCCGCTGAGTACTCTGGTCATCTTCATAAAGGCAGCTGGATTGGTGGCTCAACTACCCTCTGGTAATTTAACATAGCTATTGAAAATGGCCATTTATAGTGGATTGTCCCATTAAACATGGTGATTTTCCATAGCTATGTTAGTTTACTAGAGGGTATGCCCAATTGTTTCAATGATCATTTTCCTCATGTGTTTAAACTCCACAACTTGATGTTGCTTGATTCTCCTTCAATCTTCATTTGGTAGGTGAAACCTTTTTTGACATGTTGGTTATACCACCATTTTCCATCTCCACTTTTGTTGGCTACATCTATTTTTTTTGTGCTTATATAACTTATATCCATAGCTACTGGTAAATATCCTTTTCCTTATTGTGCAAGACGTCCTTCAGCTGGCGTCGACGTGTTTATCATCTCACGCGTGTTGTTGAAACGGCCCCCAAAAAATTCTCGCTAGCGCAGCTAGGAAAAATAGGGAGCCACGGACCCCAGTGACTCACTAAAGATCACAGGGTAGTTGCTGTGGCTATGATTTTCAACATGATTTTGGGGATATTGGGGATACATATCCATAGCAACCAGCTATAACCAGCTATTTTGATGTGAAAATGGTTGGTCCTGAGCCGGTTTTGGGTCCTATTTCGGAAATTGCATTACTTATACATACTTACTTGGACTTGCTGAAGATGAGATGGAATCACAAATCCAAGCAGGCTCTGACATTTGTTAGGTCCCTCCAATTTGCATACCTGCAAAGTGATGCCACCCACTTCTGAATTGGTTTGTAAACACTAAGTATAGACATAGCCACCATAAGCCCTAGTGCCCAACTAGGTACCTCGCCTATAATTTCATCACTTCTTCGAGGCCAAGCAAGCCGAAAAGGAAGAGGAATTTCTGGAAGCGCTGAGTCGTCCGGGCCGCTGGATGCTGATATTATGATATGATATGTTATGTATAATCATATATAATGTTGCATTACATTACATTATACTATGTATATTTATATTATATTATGTTATATTATATTGTATACAGTATCATATTATATTATATTATAAATTATATTGTATATTATAAATTATATATTATATTATATCATATTATATTATATTATATCATATTATATTATGCTCCATTTTTCTATTACATTATATTACATTATATTATAGTATGTTATATCATAGTAAATAATTTATATATTATATTAGATTATATCAAATTATATTATATTATATTATATCATGTTTTATTATATTATATCATATACAATATATTATATTGCTTAAAATATATAATATTATATACAATATATTATAGTATAATAGAATATACTATACTATAATATAATATAGTATAGTATAATATAATATATGATATATGATATATATAATATACAATATAATATGATATATGTAATATAATATAATATAATACAATATAATACAATATAATATAATATAATATAATGTATGATATAATATATTAAAAAAATAACATATAATATAATATATAATTCGAGTCGCTTCGCGATGAGAACCGCCCGCACCCAGGGAATAGGTGAGGACTAGAGCCCCGATGATGGTGATATCTTCCCTGTTGACACACCTTTTGACCTTTTGGAGCAGAGGTAGTGACTTCGGGGATTGTGCCACTACAAGAAAAATGGCTCACTGTAAGCTCTGGCTTTATATAAATATTGTGAACAACTTCATATTGAAGTTTATCATATAATTTTTTTATAAGCCCGAAACCAGAGAACATGTCCAGATTGATTGTTGGACGTTCGTCGTGTGCATTGATTCAGCATTGATACAACCATTTGCTAGCTGACATATTTGGAGAAAAGAAACCCAATCAATCCGGTTGGTGGTTTCAAGTTTCAACATGTTTCATGTATTTTCATGTGGGTTTGTCTGAACATAGTGGACCCAATTTTGATGGTTTATCATCATTTTCCCGGATTTTACCTGGCCATAACTTGAGGTTCACTCCACCATCATTCCAAACCCTGAAGCGATGTGTGCAAGCCACCTTTGAAACCAACCTAACCTGAGATCATCTACCCTCTGGTAAACTAACATAACTATGGAAAATCACCATTTATAGTGGATTTACCCATTAAAAATAGTGATTTTCCATAGGGTAACCCATCACCGGCATCGTGCCCTTAACGGGTGCCCAGGTCAAGCGAAAGCGCGGCAGACGGTGGAGGTGCAACACGAGGAAATCAAGGCGGAGGTGCGAGCTGGGGGATCCGACGTGGGGATCCGTCGTGGTTAGTCACCAAGGAATGATGGCAGGTTAGTGAGCTATTACCATTCACCCATATATGTTGACAGATAGATAGATAGATTAGATTAGATTAGATAAGATTAGATAAGATAAGATACGATTAAGATTAGATTAGATTAGATAAGACTAAGATAGACAGATAGATAGATAGATAGATTAGATTAGATAAGACTAAGATAGACAGATAGATAAATAGATAGATAGATAGATTAGATTAGATTAGATTCGATTAGATTAGATTAGATTGGATAAGACTAAGATAGACAGATAGATAGATAGATAGATAGATGGATGGATGGATGGATGGATGGATGGACTTCACGAACTATATCATATGAGCTTTGTCTGGACATGGGAGATCAACCTCCCGTTTTAGGGGTACCCGGGGTACCCTGTTCAGAACAACCCATCAGAGCTTCCTGGTACTAGTAGATGTTGTAGATTTGGGTCAGACGGAGTAACAGGATCATAAAAGGAATACAGTGGGAGTTCACACCCACTGATCTTGGGGTGTGTCTGAAAAATGCGTTACGCAACCACTTTGTGGCAATTTCAACACGGAAAATCATGCTGGACCAGTGGATTTTGGGTCCGTATTTTCAGACGATATCATGTTTTCCTACCAGTTGCCTGAAACACAGTGGTGAACGGTTCCTAAGACTGGGATGATCCAACATTACTCTACACACTGTGCTGGTCCTGCATAAAGAGAATTCGGAGGCTGTCGCCTGAGACCCCCAGATGATATCCCCATCCTAGGTAGGTTGTATTGGGATGATCCCTGAATTATTTCATGGGCAGGAAGCATATCTGAATCCGAACACATTCCAGTCATAAAGGGGCTTGGTTTCTCAACTACTACCCTCTAGTAAACTGTCAAACAACTATGGAAAGATCCACCATTTTATAGCTGGGTAAATCCACGAACTAAATCACCATTTTCAATAGCTTTTTGTATGTTTACCAGAAATATCCCATTAACATACCATTAATATCCCATTAAAATGGATAAAATCACCATTTTCAATAGTTCTCTGTTCAATTACCAGGCCGGGTATAGAACTGGGTAGGACGTTCTGGGATCATTTCAGGATTGTTTCAAGGGGACATTTGAAACCGGAACTCCGCATCGATTTAGGGGTGAAACATATATATATATATTATTATACTATATTATATTATATAATTGTAAACATACATACGTCGTACAGTTCGAACATGGATTCAACCGTTGATGGACTTTCTCAGGCCAAGAAGTATTGGACTGAGAAAGTGGTCCCAGTGACCCGGCGGTCGCGGGGGGAATCATCCAATAAAGTGGTGAACTCTCTTAGGAATCAATTAGGAATTATGACTTGATGGCATTACTTCATAAGATGTGCCCAAATACCAGGATAGAGCTTGCTAAAAGGTGTCGGGTTGGTAGAAACCCGAAATATAAAATGCATCTTTGGTGGTTTGGGGGAGCTTGAAGTATGTACACGTTCCTGACATCTCCAATAGAATCAATAGAACGGACGGTGATAAACCGCACACGAATGACAATGGATGACATTGCACAATGTCGTGTGCATCTTGGAATTGGTTTCGCTGCACAAGTCTCGGGGTGTTTACTGTAAGACTATCATAACAATGGGATGTTGCATCAACAAGGAATGTTATGGCTTATGTTCCTGTATCGTCAAGTTACTTACCATGCCAATGGGAACGGTTTGTCAAGAATACCACCCATGATCCACTATATTCAAACCTGATTGGGTCCGTAGGCAAGTTATTGGTTGAGGGTTCAATGTTCCCGTAGATCGAATATATTCTTTTCATGTACCAAACATGTTATAATCATCTTAAACTCTATACAATCTAAACCTAAACGTCCTGTATATAGCTATGAACATGTAACAATATGTATGTCTCATGGTCTCTATGTCATCAAACCATAACACTTTCTCTTCAGAACCATGTCACTGCATAACTGAAGAATGAATTTTGCCTTCAAACAGTTAGTTCGTTTTGCTCTTCAAACAACGAAAACAACAATAGTCTTGGAAAACACAGGAGTTTCTACCAGCCCGACGCGTGCTAACATGTTGATGACCATTGGTGAACGAACTACTGCAATCTACAGGAATGATTGAGATAAACTTATGGCATTCTCAGGGGCGATGCTTGCATCGCCCTGATGCGGATTGGACATGGGGTTGTGACTACCCCAAAGGATGATTGCGCCCTGCCGAGATTCCCTGCGGAAGCAAGCGTGGCAACCGTTTTTCTGTATGCGATGGGATTTTTCTTTGCCGTGTTTTTTTCACGGGAGGATAGTTGTTCAGTTGTTTGTAGTACCATTTGAGACTGGTTTTAGCTATATCCTGCTTGGATATAGCTATGGAAAGTCACCATTTTTAATGATTTTAATAGGTAGATCATCCATAAGTAGGTAATTTTCCGCAGCTTTGTTAGTTTACTGAAGGTTATTTATATATGTTTATTTTACAATGATTCTACTTGTGATACAACTGCTAGTGAGGAATCACATTGCAACTCTCCTCATTTTTGGATCTTGGTAAACCTGGATGGGTACAGTAAGTGGTTTTTTTGAAACCATAACCCCCCTTGTAATTGATGGGGTACCCCCACTTTTCACGGGGACTTACTAGGCTTAACTTTGTGAGATCCTGGTGATGAGCTCCGGGGGGCCAGCGCTTCGGTTTTCAGGTACTCGAGAAAAAGAGAGAAGAGGAGGAGAAATTCCAGGAGCGACTGAGACGAAAGGCGTCATCCGCGGGACGACAGCCAGTCCACAGCCAGGTGAAAATTGGGGATGCGGGATGTAACACAAAATTATGTTTTTTTCAACACCACTTTATGGACTGTACTGGGAATATATATATAATTACGCGCAACGCCTGGGCTTTGCCCAGGCGTTGCAGCGTAGAGGGTCCCCATTCCGTATAATCATATATATGATTATATATATATATGATCATGTAATAGAGGCAATAGGTAGATCAATGAAGGGACATATTACAGGACACCCTAGAATTTATAATCATTTTTCTGGGAACAACTATGGTTTCCTTTAAGTAAAAGATCTCATCAACCAATATATTGACAGTAGAACCATGACCGTCCTTCCAGTGGTGAGGACTAGAGTCTAGAGCCCCGATGGTGGTGATATCTTCCCTGTTGACACACCTTTTGACCTTTTGGAGCAGAGGTAGTGACTTCGGGGATTGTGCCACTACAAGAAAAATGGCTCACTGTAAGCTCTGGCTTCATATAAATATTGTGAACAACTTCATATTGAAGTTTATCATATATTTTTTTATAAGCCCGAAACCAGAGAACATGTCCAGATTGATTGTTGGACGTTCGTCGTGTGCATTGATTCAGCATTGATACAACCATTTGCTAGCTGACATATTTGGAGAAAAGAAACCCAATCAATCCGGTTGGTGGTTTCAAGTTTCAACGTGTTTCATGTATTTTCATGTGGGTTTGTCTGAAAATAGAGGACCCTAACATTATTTTTATGGTTTATCATCATTTTCCCTTAAAGAATGTCCTTTTGGGGCTATACCCCCAGCTTGCAAGTTCCCAAGTGTTCACCGGTCGCAGCGGTCGCAGCGGAGGCCAAGAAAAGCAGGAAACCTCCAGGACCGCGTTGTAAGCGTGCGAGGATTGTGAGGGGTAAGGTTGCATCAAGACCCCCAAAATGGACGGTATATTGATTTGTATTAGCAGATTTAATGCTTGCCATGAATCCCGTAAAATTCTTCAGTAGATGAAAAAACGGTGGGGCATGTGGACATATCTAAATAAAGGGTTTTTCTTGCAGTAGAGTTCCATGCAACCAATGCCATAAACCATCACCGGAGGGAGGTTGATGAATTTGGGTATGGTCCTAGTCATGGTATGCTTCTAAAATTCCAATTTTACAGTTGGGAAACATGTTTCTTTTTTTGTGGGTTTCCAACATCAAGTCACTTATATGCAAGCAAATGATAAGATCCCCGGTTATTTATGTAATTGAATTCTACATATATCATATATATATATACACATACGTTACATGTACATTCAGTCATTCAGGGCTCATAAACCACCAACAACCACGGATATCCGAACCTTACTATCTATCAAGTTGTAAGCTGGTTTATGAACCCCAACTAACTATGACTATAGATATCCACCATAAACCCTAGCTTTTCCAGGTCCTATCTCTCCGCGCAAGTGCCTTGGCCTTTTATGGTGGAGGAATCCTGTTCACCATTTCGGGTATCATGGAATGACCGGGTTTTTATCATGGAATGTCATTTCGGGCTTTGAACAGAACCTTTTAACCAACCCATTTTCGGGGTTTAATCAATGGGACTTTCAGGATCCTAAAATGGAGGTACGTTAGTACCATATAAGGCCATATTTTGTGGGGATATTCCCTGAAACTAAGGCCTTATATATGGTAGGTACCTCCAATCAATCGGTTCCTGAAATGGCGATTTAACCATGACAGAGGACCTGGATTTTCTGGATCAACTGTAAGCCATCTGAAATGGGGGAGATCTTTTCGCTAAACTGCATCCTTGTTTTGGGGGGTTCAGCAAATCCAAAAACACTACAGAGTCACATGGCACAGTGTCAAAACCAATAGTACCCCTTTTTTGTTCACATCAAAATAGCTGGGATTTATGGATGTTCATCCCACTAAAAATGGTATTTTCATAGGTATTGATCCATAGCCACATCTGCAACATCACCATGATCAGCCAGTTATGGCAGTTATGGATTTTTTGGCGCAGAATTTGTGAGCACCGCAAAAAACCCGATTCTAGCTGGCTTAGCCAAGTCCCCAATTGTGTTGGTCGAACCCCCAGGTCTGTTGCAGCAACACCTTGTTTTGTTGCCCAAATTCTCTTTGTTGTTGCTCAATCCCCAAGCTTTGCTACCAAAATTTCTTTTTTGTTGCTAAACCCGACTGCTTTGTTGCCAAATTCCCAGGTGTTTTGTCCTCCCAATCTTCGTTTGGTCACGTTCAGATGTCCAGAGATTGAATCCAAGCATTCCTGATTGTAGCCATACCTGGTCCTTAGATCCCTTTTGGAAAGTGGGGGTTATGACTGACCTGGGTCATTTTTATAGCCCCAGTAGGCGCAGATATCAGTAGGATAGGATGGGTGGACCTCGCAGCAGCGCGTGGAGATGAAGATCCGATGAAGATCCGATGCAGAGTCAGAAGCGGTTTTTATCCAGTCATAATTGGGATATATTGCGATTATAATGATTATCACATTGGGAGAAAATCACCCATTCTTTTTGCGAGTGCTGTAGACACTGTAGACGTGTTTGCCATTCATTCCATTAAAACTCAAACTCTTCGTAGGGGGCCACCCTGTGATTTTTTTTGTTTCTGGCCGCGAAAAAAGATCTAGAAAGGCCGTTTAGGGGTAGCTACTTGGGGGGTGCATCCCACTTAGTAAGTGGGTAGGAACCATATCACATCCCACTTATATATGGGTTACCTATGGGTTACAGTACGTATATATATAATATATATATAATATATATATAATATATATATATAATATATATATATATATAAAATAGCTTATTCACTACTTAGCAATTTCTTTCCAACGCGGAGAACTTGGATTTATGGTAGATCCATGGTTCATGGACTTAAATCATCAACAAAGACATCGGGGACCCCGGTTTTTTCCCATCGAGACCCAAATCTCAGGTTGAAATACCTCCAAGAGGAGTCCCAGCGACGGATCGAGCTGTGGGAGGGCCTGGAATTTGACTATCCTGAGTTTACTGGAAGGCTTTCTGGATGGAAAAAAGGGGAATGTGGAATTCACACAAAACCATAAATATATATATAAATATATATAAATATTGACATCCATGAACCTGTGATTTGGGGATTCTTTTCAACATTGATGGTGATATTGTGGATGGTTTATGGCTTTGGCTTTACGGCGATATATAGGAATCATATGAGTAATTTGAAAGTCTGTGTCATTTTTCGATGAACGTCCAGCCTTTGTCAGTGACATGTTCATTTCTGTGGGTAAAATTCTCCCATTTTCATGATTTTTCATGCGTGGGTAGAATGTCACGTTTCATTGGCTAAATCTCCAACAGCATCAGCTGTTGCTCCAAATCCCAATATTTGTATTGATTAAATCAAGTAATAAGTAAAGCTTATCGCACCGGCCAAAAAAAACCGGTGACATCTACCGTGATTTTTAGTGGGTTTTTAGGGGGTTGCCATAGACTTTCGCCAGTTTTCTTGGCATCAACGCATCATTTCTTTGCCATGGCGTTTTGCGCGTCATCGTTTTCGGCTCAGGCGCAGCAGCATGGATGAGCTCGTCCAGCAGAATTTGCGACGCCTGGGACGTGGCGTGGCGAAGAACCAGTGGTCGTTTGTCGTGGCTGTGGGGTCCCATCACCATCAAACGGGAACCAGAAAAGGGATAGGATATCATGGCGATATATATACCGTATACCCTCTGGTTATGACTAACATAGCCATGGAAAATTGCCCATTTATAGATGGTTTACCTATTAAAAATGGTGATTTTCCATGGCTATGTTAAATAACCAGCTGGTATGTATATATATATATGGGTAAACTCAATAATCAACCCCCAAAATAACCATGGATAATATATATATATATCACTTCGACGTCACAGAAGTGTCACCACAAGGAGCTGTCAATGTACCCTCTGGTAAACAAACATAGCTATTGAAAACGGCCATTTATAGTGGATTTACCCATTGAAAATGGTGATTTTCCATAGTTATGTAAACGTTTACCAGAGGGTACCAGGTCCAGAAAATGGCGGTGAGTCATCGAAGATGAGATGCACAGATTGCTGGAGATCTTCCTGGCCATGAAGGTCCTCTGATGGTACCAGCAAGCTACCAGAGTCAAAGGATCCAGTGTGATCCAGACACACTGGATCTGTGTGTTGAGGCCGGGCACAGATGGGGAAGCTTGCCATCAATGGCCATCAATGAGAGGATATCATCTGGGTAGATTCTGACGACCTTACTGTGATGGTTGGGTTGCTATTATTTTTGCTGATGATGATGATGGTGGTGATGATGATGATGATGATGGTAATGATTGGATCTAGGTTTCTGGATAGGATATGGTACAGCCAAAATATACCAAAATAAAGGGATATTATGGTGGACATATAATAGTGATCGTATGTGATATTATGGGTTACAATAATAGTGATTTTATGGCGATTTATATAACCATCAACAATTGTGACTTAACCAACGCACACACACATGGTGGTATAAGACAATGGAGATATGGTGGTTATACAATGGGATATATCTCGATAAATTACACGTGACCTCACCTCGCCCCTAGAATGATGGTGAATGGATTGGCGTAAGTATCCCGAAATAGCCGAACTTTTCAGGATAGTGAATTACTGCAATTTACCCACATCTATTATGTTTTTAGTGTATGTATATCCACATGTTTGGCAAACCATTATATCTTTAGTGTATACTTCTACTGATACAACGTCAATATTCAGATCCGAAGGTTGAGATTAAACATGTGTCCAGATGATGAATAGATATGGGTTAGTCATGGTTAATCTGAAAATTGGAGTGAGCACCACCTTTCAGATTGGGACACCAGCTTGTAGGTTGGTAATGGGTAAATTGGATTGGGACATGATGACATGATCGGTTTTCTTGGGAATATACTGACTGGTTTTTTATTGGGGATATCATGGGGATATAATGGAGATACAATGAGGATATAGAACCAACATGAACCAACAAGTCATATGTGATTTTGAGACGTGTTCTGAACATGGGTTATCCATTGGAACTGGGAGTAGCCTATTTTGCGACAAACCCGGCTTGAAGGGATATCCCTTTAAACATGGTACCATCTGGTTATTTTTACTAACAGTTTGCCATGGAAAATCACCATTTTTAATAGGTAAACCATATATAAATGGGTCATGAACTACACTAGAAACTGAGTACTTACCATCTGGTATGACTAATATAGCCATGGAAAGATCCACCGTGCTATTAATAGGTAAACAACCATCTATTTCTATGGGCCATGGCTTCCATGGCTATGTTAGTCATAACCAGAGGGTATGTTTGAACTGTTCGTATTGCTAGTACTGAACCATGAAAATGTTAGTATTAAACCATCCGTTTCGTATCTTTTTGGAGTTTTTACCCCCCATTTTGACAGGTTTGACCGGTATAGCGACATCGCATCTGCCCTGTGACCCATAGCCATGTTCCGTGATCATATCCCAAATCCCCAGTTCCTTTTTATTAGCTATACCATTTATCTCGGTAAATTATAACGACCTCACTGCGACCTCACTGGGAATCATAGTTAGTAAGGGGAATCATCCCCAAATGGCCTTAATTCAGGTTAGTGAAATATCATAATTTACCCAGATTTATGGCAATTCCATATAGTTATGGACAATCACCATTAACGAAATGGGCCATGGCTTCCATTGAAATTACCGGAGCGAACCTAGTTTCTGGAGATACCCCAGCCACAGTTCGACGATGTTTTTTCCGGCGAACTCAACCTGAGGTGGACAGGAGTTCAACACGGATCGCCTGCTTACCAGGACTGGGGCCGATGGGTTCTAAAACGATGGTGAATCGAAAAATGGGTGCCCCAAAAGATCGTCATTGATCATGATTTTAGTAAAAATTACCCTCTGGTAATTTGTTACATAGCTATTGAACATGACCATAGAAAGTTCGTGTGTTTTCCCATTAATAGCATGGTGGATCTTTCCATCGTTTTTTGTTAACGTTTACCAGGCCGGGTAACTGAATCCATGGAAGAGGGAAAATCCACGAAAAGCCTCATTTTTTTTGGGAAAATCCTAAGGTTTGGGGGTTAATGATGGTTAATGATGGTTACTGGGTTACTATCTCCAACATGTGTCGGAACTCTTGAGTCTCTTTGTATTTTCTGGTGAATTATGGCGGAATTCGGCCAGCAACGGAGCAACGTTACGGGAAAATGGTGGACTAAACACAACCAACAGAAGCGATGGATTCAACCAACCAGCCAGTGGGGATTTCATGGAATGCATGGAATGGGAAGTTCCATGGCTTTTTAATGGTTTGATTTTTAGCCATGTTGATGACTTGATGCGGATATATCCAGACGACTCACTTTTTTCAGAGTATCAGAACATTTCGCGATGAGTTCGAGCAAGGTACCGTAGTAGCAGATGGTAGATTAATGGGTTGAGTTTTTAACCATGAACAACATTTTTTTCATGAGGTCGTTACAGAGGTACACCGATTTTGTTGCAGCTAAAGCCACATGCCATGCCACGGCCATTCGGCCACTGGCCATGCACAGCCTAGCGGCCTAGCGACTTCCCTCGTGAGGATCGAAGAAAACAACGCGCGAAGTGATGAGATCCACGAAAAGAGGATGAACCGCCATCTACAGTTTGGGATGCTCAGATTTGGTAGGTTGATGGTTGGTAGATGTACTGGTGCCCCAGTGAAATGTTGTTTTGTTGGTTTATGTTACCCCCATCAAAAGCAGTTCGATACGTACATCTAGCATGAACAAATATATATTGCCATGAAGCCAACTCAGTTATTGGAGTTCATCACGTAAAATCCAAATTGGAGCTATAGCATCCAAATATGGTATGTTGGGTTGCAAGTTGTGGTGCATACATAGCATTCCTCAGGGCATGACCATACCGCATGACTATCCCATGTGATTTCATCATGTCAACTCACCAGCCATATCCCACCAACTAATTGGGATGAACCAGCGCGCCAGAATATGCCGAAAAAACGCCACTGTGAATGGGGGTCTGTCCCATTAAACTAGAATCCAACCATTTATTGGCACATAAAAAATCATAGAAACACACATATATATATATATATTTACATATATATATATAATTATATATATATACACATAATATTATGTATATACTATACACATCAATACTTAAAACCGCAGTTTCTGTAATGGATTGATAAACATCCCATACCCCTACACTCTAGTTTTCCCAGGCGCGAAGCCATCATGAAAGAAGCGCTGATTGAAAAGGCCCGGGTCAACGATGAGCTACGGACCATGAAGGCCAGACCTGGTGGGCTGTCCACGCAAAAAATGTCGGATTTTCTCAGGAAAATTGGGACAATTCCATGACATGGATAGCCTGGATGGTTCCTCAAAGTTGGAACGGAGAAGACCTCATTTTAATAGCTACCCTTTTTGTGGTTTTTGGTGTGACCTGAGTTCATTCAACACATCGTGAAAAACTGTCCTGATTTTAGCAGCGTTTACATCGGGATTTCTGGATCAATTTTTGGGTTTAAAACCAGCAGACAGATTTCTTCCTAAGTCATGGAGGTGCCCCTAAATCATCCATTTTTGTTTGGGATTTTCCATGATAAACTGGTTATAACTGGTTGGTGGTTTCAAACATGGTTTTTATATGCTTTTATTACTTCCATTTCATATATGGGATGTCATCCTTCCCATTGACGCACTCATATTTTTCAAGATGGTTAAAACCACCAACCAATTACAGTAATCAGAAAAAGCTGAAACAGTGGAAACAGCCAGCTTAGCAGGGATATCGGCTAGTTGTCTTTTTCCTGACAGTTATTTCATGTTATTTATATACATACCATAAAAGAACATGTCTTGTGTTCTCATTGGCAGACTTACCGTTTCTTTACCGATGAACACCCAGACTTTGCTGGCAGCAATCCAGTGAAATCTCCGATCATCTCTGGCAGCTTTTTTCTGGTGTCTGAAAATGGGATCTATCACCCCTGGTGATGGCAATTTTCATTGGTTTAAACCAGCAAATTTCTTATGGTATCTTTTTTAATGGTTACCCCTGGTTTAAACCAGCAAATTTCGGGTTTTCCCCTACTATAATTTTCAGACACACCCAAGGCAATCGGAATCCACACACCAAAATGGAAGGATTTCCAAAACTGGCCGTCGCACTGCAGGTGCTTCCAAATCCTCCTGCTGAAAGCGAGGAGAAGGAGAAGGAATCCAAATGAACTGCAGAAGAATTTTATCGGCAAGGCCAAGGCCACCAAGACGTCTCAGAGGTTTTTTTAAACGAGTGAAACATCCATAAAAATGCCACAGGAGTTTGGTGAAATAAATGGGTGTAGGACAGGTAAACAATGGTAAAGAACTGGATAAAGATGAAGTGAAGTCAAGCTTGCAGCAACGGACCCTAGCTGGTTATGGTATTGTGGGGGGTCACAATGGATATATTCTAACAAAAGGTAGTCCCTAATTGTATGAGCAGTGCAGGGGTTTACAAATCCAAGCTTGACCTTGGATGCAACAGAAATCATGCACGACCAAAGATGTGCTGCCTTCAAGGGACCATTTTTGCTGGCTCAGCCGGTTTTGTTTTGTGGCTCAAGTTGAAACATGACGCCTGTCCTGAATGAAAATCGTCCAAGGTGTCATAGTTTGACCTCCGAAAATTCTTGATGTTTTGTGATTCATTGACAGTGGGAGGATGATTGAACTAGGCGTTTGATCTTCGAGAATCGGAAATTGCAGGTGAAATTCACCATTTGAAAAATGGACAGAGGAGACCTTTGCCAACTTTGCTATTAAAAAGAGTGCATCTACCTTACCTTACCTTACCAGCCAGGGACCTCCAAATCAAGAAGGCAGCCATTTCAGGCTTCAAATTAGCCAAATAGAGTTTTCAAAATCGAAGACTCAGTCAGGGGAACCACAGAAGTTGCTATTAAAAAAAAAAACGAGCACATGCGATTTTCGGGCCTGGGAGCCACAAGTGTGACTCACATCCATTAAGCTGGATCGATACCATGGAGGGGTTCAGGACACAAGGCGATGCCCCCGAAGCGGCATCCGTTGCTTCACTGTGGCAACTAGGCTGGTAGATACATCATGATACATCTATACTGAGGGGTATAAACTTACAACTCAGGGGCCTCACCTACTACTGGTAAGAATCCAGGGATGTGAAATCCCCTACATTTGCCAGCCTATTTTTGAAATTTTGATTTGACGGAGGGCCCAAAAAAAATTACAGAATTGCAACGGAAGGGGCCTGATATTCAGTGCAGCTTGGATCATGAAAAGCATACCTATAGCAAGCCAGAAAAGGATAGACGTTATAGCAAAATCCAGTTCTTTAATCCAATCCTAAAGACTATCCATTGCACAGAGGTCATACGCAGTAGTTAAATCATGTTAAATCCAATCCTAAAATAGTGATCATCTTGACCTTCTCGATCTCTGTGGGGGCTTACTTCTTATTTATGGTTGGGCATTTCTTCACTAGCCAAGTTCAGCAGGAGTCAACAAGAGAAATAGCGATCGGACCTGCAAACATGAAGATCTAACTTCCCACAAGAAACAAAATGTTAGAAGCAGTTGGTTCGCCACCTTCCTAATCAACATGATAATTGTTTCTTTAGACTATGATGCAGTGTTATATTACCTCATGATCAATTTATTCACCTCTTCATTTCCAACCTGCCAATCATACTTAATCACATGTGTTTTCACCTCATGATCAACAAGCAATTGCTTGAGACTCTGTTGGCAGCTTGCTGTCTTTGCAAATGCAAAGTGCGATAACGCCTCCAAAGGAGGCCAAGCCCATCGCCAGGGCTTCCAACGTTGTGCAGTCGTGGTGTGAAAAACCGGGAAACCGATGGTGATTTCATTGGCAAATGAAAGGTACTTCAAGGATCATCGGATCATCCCATTCAGTAAGTGGTTACCCTCTGGTTATGACTAACAGTTCGCCATGGTAGAGCCATGGCCCATAGAAATAGATGGTTTACCTATAAATAGCGTGGTGGATCTTTCCATGGCTATGTTAGTCATAACCAGATGGTAGTAAGCATAGTTAATATCTTTTGCAAATGGGATAAGCCCACGGAAGGGGGACTTACTCAAAAATGGCATAATGAGACTTACTAAGTGGGATGATCCTCCAGGTATTGGCTTGATTTGGCTCCACTTTTTTTTTGCAAGCTCAAGAATCAACCTCCAATCTGGGATGATTTATACAAGACCTATCTACAACAACCCATTTCTGTTAGGTCAGTGGGGATGGTGAGGGCGGTTGTGGATGGCTGAGCTCCGGTCTCACGTTGGAAGCTCGGCCCTGAATGATTTGGCCACAAGGCGGGTCAGACGGCACCGTCACAAGACGGTAGCCTGGAAATCAGTGACGCTGTGATGGAAAGGTGCAACAGAAGGTGGGAAGTGATCATGGGATATCAATAGTCAGTACAACTAGTTGGATATCAATAGTCAGTACAACTAGTATACCCATCTATAGTAGATATATCTATAGTATTCTATAGTCAACATAGTTGGATATCATGGGATATCATGGGATATCATGGGATTCGAAGCCAGCTGCATCACTGGATGATGTTTCCGCCCAAAAAGTTGGCCCTGCCATGGACCCCGAGTTGTTGGATCCCAGGACCGGGATGGTGACCACCAATAGACCAGTAGACCACCGCAGGTCGTGTCGCAGGTTGCAGATTGATATCCCATGAAACTCCAATTTCTTGGTCAAAAAACAGATAATTACTGTAGCTGTCTGAAATAAAAAACCTATCTTAATCTACACTAGTCTGATCGAATCGAGTCTATACATGAACACATATTCGTATACACATAAATACACTTGATATCACTTGATTACATGTGTAATTATATATGATCACATATATATATACATACATAAGTATATATATATACATGTACATATTATATTATATTATATTATATTATATTATATTACATTACATTACATTACATATATATTATATTACATTACATTATATTATATTATATATTATATATTATATAATATATATGTACATATATACACACTATAGTGATATGATGCACGGTTTTCTGCTTGAACTCCGGCAACGTTTGGACCAAGCGGCCATTTGCGCTGACAGTGACGGGGCAGAGGCAGGGACACGATGCAAAAACTGTGTGGGAAAGAATCATATGGCTATGATAACAACAATGATATAGTGGGGATGCCCTCTATTCATGGAATATCAGATAATATCATATAATATCATATAATATCATATAATATCATATAATATCATATAATATCATATAATATCATATAATATCATATATTATTATACCGGAGGGTATCCATTAGTTAACTTTAATTTACTTTAATTCACCGGTTCAAGTTACCAAAAAACGCCTTGATACTCCTCGTTTTTCCGATGAATGCCTACTCTTTGTCAGTTGGACCACTCTTTTTTTAAACCCCCCCTTTTTCCCCATCACATCCCGCAAAAGCCTGAGTTCTAACGCAAATTGATTTCTTGTTTAAATGCCCATGATCGTTGGTTTTTTAAGCCCACAAACCAAGTGAACATTGGTTCAGATCGAAACATGATGTAATAGAGGGCATACTGGTATTGGTTGAATCGGATTCAATCTATTCTAACTCAACACTTCCCAAATCAATCACTAGAACCAATCCATACCGAATACCGGGTCAAGCAGCATAGTTCTGGGAATATCTCCCCATTTTTGGAAGATGAATTCTCATGCTCCCTGGGAAAAAGTCCCTACAGTATTCAAGTTAAATATGGTCAAATCATGTCAAATCCCCAGCAGATTACATGAATCCTGATGTCTTCCGCCTAAGTCATGCAAAAACAATTACATTCTTCGAGTGATCTCCACCAAATGACATGGAAATTCCGCATTTGTTGTGCATATATTCTGATTATATTCTGATTTTCTATCTACTATAAGATATATTCTGACATTATAACTGACACTTTATCTGCAGTGTTTTCCGGCATTCTATAACTGGCATATATTCTGACATTTGATCTGACATGTTTTTCTATTTGACACAGAATTATTTGGCTTCTAATCTCGCACAGATCATCTGTATCTGTTGTTTGTTTTTTTTCCTGGCATTCTATCTGATATATTCTGATATATGATCTAGCAATATCTAGCATTCTATCTGACTTTTTTCTGGCATTTCTAAGGCATAGCGTTCGGGTCCTTTCGGGGCTTTTTTGGGCCCACGGCGCAAAAAAAGTTGTGTTTCTCACCGGCTTCCCCCAGTAGGTGATCCGATGTTGGCCAGAGGCCGGGTTTGGGCTGGCTGGGGGCGGCGCTTAAATGGAGCCACCTAAGTAGATAGTCATGTTAGTTGGTTTACAACTACAGAAAGTGTAGGATTTTTAGACCATATATCTAGAATTATCTAGACTTAGATGGTGTTTTAAACCAACAAAGATAGTGGATCATAGCGGTACACCTTACGAAAAACAGGGTGATGTTTTTCGTCGGTGCCAGCCAATCCAAGTTGTGGACTTTTTGGACCAACTTGACAACAATTCGAAACGGATGTTTTTCGGGGTAAAGCGACTGGTGAATGGTTGCTGCGATTCACAACATTTTTATGTCTTTGGTGATGGTGGCACCGGTGGTTTCAAAGGGCCCCTAAGTTCATCATCCTACCTGGGAACGGCATGACAATCTGCGATTTACATCAGGGGGAACCATTGAACAATATTGAACAAAAAAAACAGTACGGAAATGTTAGCTGTCATTCTTGGAGCAATTGAATGTCAGGGACCTAATTTGTTCTTAAGTTTTATTACAGTAATCAGTTTTTGATTGTGTGACACCTGCACGTGGATGACGTATACCATCGAAAATTGCCACTGAACTAGCAACAATACATAACTGGCTATGCCCCTGTTGCTAGTTCGACCCTGAGACGGACATGTCTTGCATAATATTGCATATTCATTGGTCGGTGAATGGACGTTTTAAATTGCTAATGGACTTTAGCATTGTGTTTTGACTGACTAGGAAAAAACATGGAACCTCGAGCAAAACTTATTCTAACGAGCAAAAACCACGTTTTTGATCCAGTAGACAACTTCAACTCCTTGTGCCATGGTACCAGGCTTGGGAGTGCTGCTCCCATGCCTAAGGTGTGACGCGGGGTCTTGTTGCATAGGGACTATCATGGGGGTTCAGCAACCAAAACGCCAGATGGTTTCAAATCTTGTCCATCAAGAGTGGGGGTTTATGGAGAAACATGGGC